AGGCTTTTTTGAAATAGTTTGATTCAGAATTGCTTGGACTGATAAGGGAGGCCTGTTTCAGAGAATAAGGGAGAGAAAGAGAGAGAAGGATAGAGAAGGACAGGGATGGGGAGAGGGAAAGAGCGAGAGGTGGGGATGTAGATCCTCAGTATTTTATGTATTTTATGCCTCATGCATAAAATCCGCTGGTAGGACTTGTCACTGCTTCCATAGCAAAATATTTCGTATCAGTGTGCATGTTGAATTGTAATAGCTGTTGAGATGAATTGTACTCTCTCCCCCATAGGACTCCAGGCAGGGTTTGCGTTCATGGTAGTCTCAGGTGATTGTTCGTAAGCGTCAGTATCCCTGTGCTAAATTTGCCATCTTTCAGTCTTTGTCTCCCAAAGAGAACATAATGCCTGGATAACTTGTACTCCTGGCATAGTCACCAGCTGCATTAGTGTCTGCTTTTATCTCTGATCCCTCTCATGCTAAGCTTTATACTCTCAAGGCAACATGAGGGAGTGTAGCTCACAGACCACCTAGCAATCTGCTTTAGTAAGGGGTGGGAAGTAAATCAGAAAATATCTTCTCTTTCTGTCGATCGGGTTAAGTATAACTAGCCATGCTACACTTAGAATGAGATATAAACGCACAATCAGCCTCTGTAGTCCTTTGTGATGTTTTTCCACTGTATAAAAGAAAAGCATTTGATGTTGGGACATCTCAGAATTGCTGAAATAAATTTTTATTTTCAGGCTCAGTCGTTGGCAGGGTTTTTGGATCATAAATTTGTTCAAGGGACAAGTGCTTTCTTTGCCAGGAGCCATCTTATCAGCTTGCACAAGAGCAGATCAGGAAAATCTGAATCAGAGCAGCGCTGGAGCTCATCCAGAAGCTCAGCACTCCCAAAGTAGTGCCCTTTCCCCCATCCTTCCCTGTCTCTCCTTGTCTCTCATCAGCTTGGTAATGCATACACTTTTCATCCTTTGAGCAAAACAAGAAACTGGTAATGCTGTTTCTTAGAGTAGTAATTCTTTCTCTCAAAGTGTCCTTCCAAAAAAGCAGTTTTAATGTACTCCAGGAAGCAAGACAGGGAAGACAGCTATGTTTTAGACTGATTGATATTTTGAAAAATGGTTAATTGAAGCATGTAAAAAGTGATTTGAGAAACCAGACAGGATAATGCTCAAAAATATACCCCATCCTTCCTCTTGGTTTATAATTCCAGGAGACGTGTTACGTAGAATCTCTGTATCTCTGAACCTTTGATCTGAGTAGAAGCTGACAGGATGAAGACATGTTAGATTTAGGTTGGCTTTCTGAGATGGAGTCTTGTTTATCTATCTATCTATCTATCTGTTTATTTTTTAATGTTTTATTTATTTTTGAGAGAGAGAGAGAGAGACAGCATGAGCAGGAGAGGGTCAGAGAGAGAGGGAGACACAGAAGCTGAAACAGGCTCCAGGCTCTGAGCTAGCTGTCAGCACAGAGCCCGATGCTGGGCTCGAACCCATGAACTGTGAGATCATGACCTGAACCCATGAACCGTCAGATGCTTAACCGACTGAGCCATCCAGGCACCCCTATTGTATCTTATTTAATAATCTCATGAAATTATCTTTTAAATAAACAACCAGTGTGTTTAAAACAAGAATTGTCAGGTTCAGGCATGGATTTGAGTCAGCGACTATAATTACATGCTCAATTGATCCATTTTTTCCCGCCTCCTATAGACCTTTCTAAAGTGAAGCTGATGAGATTTGATGATCCGCTGTTGGGGCCTCGGCGAGTTCCTGTCCTGGGAAAAGAACACATTGGGAAGACCCCCATCTCAGAGCATGCTGTTTTCCACGTGGACCTCACGAGCAAGAAAATTAATCTCACTGAAAATGGGCTAGGGGCAGATATTGGTGATACAATTGTCTATCTGGTTCATTAAACTTATGCGTATTAGAGATACAGCCTGGCTTCTGGGGTTATGACTATTCTGTGTCTACAGATTGACAAGGAGAACCATAGACTGAACCTTAATAGACTTCATTTCTAATGGTCAAATTCTGCATGTAATCATAATTTCACCAAGTCGTCCTGGGTTCCTTGACCTAATAAATAATTTTTTCCTCCTTGGGACCTCTGAGAGGAGTAGTTTGTACCATACTTATTTTTTAAATTTTTAAATTTTTTGGTCTTTTAACAAATTATTGCTATTTCCCTGAAGCTTCTAGTCTTCCTTTTTTAAGTTTATTTATTTATTTTGAGAGAGAGGTCAGGGGCAGGGTGGGGAGGGGGAGGAGAAGCTGAGAGAGGGAGAGAGAGAATCCCAAACAGGCTCCACACGGTTAGTACAAAGCCCGATATGAGGCTTGAACTCACAAACTGTGAGATAATGATCTGAGCTGAGACCCCATAGTCGGACACTTAACCAACTGAACCACCCAGGTGCCCCCAGAAGCTTCTAGTCTTTCAGATTAACACAGAAGTGTCAACATGTTTCTTTTATGAAGGATACTTTATCTAGCAACTTTTCATATTATATCCATTATGGAGTCAGAGGTAAAGAAAAAAGTGAATTTGGGGCACTTGGGTGGCTCAGTCCGTTAAGAATCCAGCTTTGGTTCAGATCATGATCTCACAGTTCTTAGGTTCGAGCCCTGCGTTAGGCTCTGTGCTGACAGCTAGCTCAGAGCCTGGAGCCTGTCTTCAGATTCTGTGTCTCCCTTTCTCTCGGACCCTCCCCTGCTCACGCTGTCTCTCTCTCTCAAAAATAAGGAAAACATTGGGGTGCCTGGGTGGCTCAGTCGATTAGGCATCTGCCTTCGGCTCAGGTCATGATCTCATGGTTTGTGGGTTCGGGCCCCGCCTCAGGCTCTGTGCTGACAGCTAGCTCAGAGCCTGGAGCCTGCTTCAGATTCTGTATCTCTCTTTCTTTCTGACCCTCCCCTGCTCACACTGTCTTTTTCTCTCAGAAATAAATAAATTTTTAAAAAAGCCATTAAAAAATAAAAACATTAAAAAAAATTTAAAATGAATTCGACAGCTTGTTTTACCTTTTAACAAAAACAGAACTCTCTTGATGATTTACAAAAACACATGAGTATATTTTGGCTTAATTATGATTACTAAGTATTTTGTATAAAGAATAGTCTTGTATTTATAAGAATTTTTTAACTTTAATGTATTTGATTAACCACCAATAATATTTTTTCAAGGCTAATAGTAATAGTTCAGAAGCAGTTTATATAACCACCTGTACTAAATTTAGATGTTTTAATGTATATATGCTTTTAAATAAGGCTCCATTGCCAGCATGAAGCCCAATGTGGGACTTGAACTCACAACCCTGTGATCAACACTTGAGCTGATATCAAGAGTCCGGCGTTTAACTGACTGAGCCATACAGGTGCCCCTAAATTTAGGCATTTTTCCCCCCAGAAATCTTCATTTATCAAATTTGTCTTGAGTCCAATTGTGTTTAAAGATCATGCCCACTGTACTGCAAATTTATTTTTTTTACTCTTGCTAGAATGTCATTTGATATGGTCTATGCCATTCCTCTTCATATGAGGAAAAAATATTAGGTATTAAGTGACATTGGAGAAAAACATTTCCATTTCTTGAAGGGTTCAGTTTGTGCAGAGACCAATTCTGATAACCCTAAGGAATCAGAATTCTAATTTTCAGGTTATGTCAAGAGATTTTACTGAGCTTCTTTATTTTGCAACAGTTTGACATTACTGGGCCACAATGAATGCTTTGTCATTGAATCATTGAAGTAAGTCATAGAATGTTAGAACTGAAAGATCCCTTAGAGATCAAGCACAAGTCATCATTTATCTGCTGAAGCCTGGCAGCATAGCCTAGCAGGCAAGGTTACATACTCTGAAGTCAGACAAACCAGGTTAGATTTCCAGTTTTTCCATTTGCTACTTGGGGATCTTGTCCAGTTACTCAGCCTCAGTTCCTTCATCTGTGAAATGGAAGTAATAGGGTGTCTATTTTCTAGTCTTACTGTGAGATGTCTAGATGAAACATCTAGGAAATCCATATATATAGCATAGTACCTGACAAGTGGTAAGCCTTCAGTAGGTGTTACTGATTAATAATAATAATTTATTTAAAAAGCCCCAGGATGTATTGGCTTAAGATTACTATTAGCTCTAATCATGCATGTCCTTAGTATTGGTTTCCATGAGGCCACCATGGTGTTGTTTGCCCTCCTTTAGATGCTTTTGCTGCCTCAATCTGCACAGCTTTGGTTATTCTCCAAATCAACTAATCTTTCCTGGTGCTTAAATATAATCTTATGTTTAACTTAACTTACAAGCAAATTAAACTATATGTGCTTGGCAAAAAACAAAAAGCAAATAAGGAGGAAGGAAAATAATTTTATTATTGTGCATGATTATGCCTATTTTATTAAATGGGCCTGTGAACTTATGCTGCCTTGGATTAAGTGTGAGTTGGGATTCTTGGATACTCTGTTCTCTGCAGGTTCAGTTCCTTGGTATCTCTCTTAGAATGAGCCTCTTGCTGGGCTGAACATGCTTCTTGTGTTTAAAGATATGTAAGTTTTGTATAAGGAAGCCTCTCAGCATAAGCCCATTGCTTCATCTGGTGCTCAACTGAAGGAGCAGTAGTTGGTTGAAATGCTGAAGGAAAAACAAGTTGCTTTGGGCTTATGGAATTGATAGGAAATTGGTACCTTCCTAACATTTTGCCACCTTTGCTTTCTCTCTACATTTGCATTTTTAAAAGTTTGTTTATTTATCTTGAGAGACAGATCATGAGCAGGGGAGGAGCAATGAGAGAGGGAGAGAGAGGGAATCCCACACAGGCTCTGCGCTGTCAGTGCTGAGCCTAGTGCAGGGGTCGAACTCACAAACCATGAGACCATGACCTGAGCCGAAATCAAGAGTTAGATGCTTAACTGACTGAGCCACCCGGGCGCCCCTCTGAATATGCATTTTTAAATAAAGCTTTTATTTTGGAATAATTTTAGAAATATAGAAAAGTTACATCTATTAGAGTGTTCCTGTACACCCTTCGCTCATTTTCTTCTGTTAACAGATATCTCCTATGACCTTGTTTCTGTTGTCAGAACTAAATTAGCATTGGTATTTTACTATTAACTACATTCTAGGCTTTATTTGGATTTCAGCTGTTTTTCCACCTATGTCATTTTGCTATTATAGGATCCAACTCAGGATACCATGTTGCATTTAGAATACACTTTTAAGAAATTTTGAACCATTTGACAGTAAGTGGCACACACCAAGACACTTTTCAGTACTTTAGCAGGTAACTGCTAAGAACTAAGACAGTCACCTGTATAATCACTATATGTACACACGCATGTATTTTGCTCAAGAAATTTAACATGATGCAGTAATGTTAGGAAATGAGCTTTCCTAATCAAAATGACGTAATAAAGTTTCCCCAATAATTCGTCAGTAATTTTTTTAAACTCTTAGGATCTAATCAAAGATCAAGCATCACATTTTGTGATCATGTCTCTTAACCTCCTTTATTTTTTTATTTTTATTTTATTTTTTATAGTTTTTATTTATTTTTGAGACAGAGAGAGACAGAGCATGAGTGGGGGAGGAGCAGAGAGAGAGGGAAACACAGAATCTGAAACAGGCTCCACGCTCTGAGCTGCCAGCATAGAACCCGACGCGGGGCTTGGACCCACGAACCATGAGATCATGACCTGAGCCAAAGTTGGACACTTAACTGACTGAGCCACCCAGGTGCCCCTCTTGACCTCCTTTAAACTAAGAACATTTCTCAGCTTGCTTTTCTGTTTTTGGTCTTTTGTGACTAGCATTTATGAAGACTGTGGCATCTATTAGTACTTTATCTCACAATCTGGATTTGTCTATTTTCTCAATATTAGATTCAGATTTAAAAACTTTGACAAGATTGACTACATGAGTGGTGTTTCCCATTGTATCACATCAGGATGGATATATTGATACATTGTTGGTGTGTTTCCATTACTGGTTTAAGTGGTACTTTCAGATTTCTTCATTGAAAAGATAACTTTTCCTTTTTATAATGAATAAGGTGGTATTTTGAGACTTCCATGAATACCCTGTTTACCTGCAGACTTGAATGAAATGGTAGCATTCATTGGTCATCTTTCTGCTGCTTATTATTATGCTGGTAGTTATAATAAGGTGATTCTTTTTTTTTTAATGTTTTCTTATTTTGAGAAAGATAAAATGCGAATGGGGGAGGGGCAGAGAGAGAGAGAAAGAGAGAGGGAGAGGAGAGAATCCCAAGTAGGCTTTGTACTGTCAGTGCAGGGCCCAATGCTGGGCTCGATCTCATGAACTGTGAGATCATGACCTGAGTCGAAATCAAGAGTCAGACGCTTAACCGTCTGAGCCACCCAGGCGCCCCAATAAGGTGAGTTCATAATTTTACCATTTCTTTTACATTTATTAGATATTGTTTTTCTGTAAAGAAGAGGTTTCCCTTTTGCTCTCAATTTTTTTCTTTCATCATTCTTTTCAAATCACTGTGGACTGATGGACTCTTTTTGTTCATATATGCTGTAATCTCAATACATTTACTCATTTCAGAATTACCAGTCCAGGAGCTCCTGGGTGGCTCATTCAGTTAAGCGTCCGACTTCGGCTCAGGTCATGATCTCACGGTTCGTGGGTTTGAGCCCCGCGTCGAGGTCTGTGGAGGTCTGTGCTGACAGCCTGGAGGCTGGAGCCTGCTTCGGATTCTGTGTCTCTTCTCTCTGCCCCTTTCCTGCGTGTGCGCTGTGTCTCTCTCTGTCTCTCTCAAAAATAAAGAAACATTAAAAAAAAAATAAAAAAACAGTCCAAACCCATTATCACCAACAGATCTACTAAGTAGAGCTCAGGTTTTTTTGAGTAAGTAAAATATAGGGCTCAAAAGTCAAAACTTGATCCACTTAGAGCACTTCTACCCTGGTTGAACCATATTCCCAGCTAACCATTCTCATTAGTTTCTGCCTTGTCTTCCCTGTGTTTCTTTTTCCAAAAATAAAGTGTTTATGTGTACTTTTTTTTTTTTTTAATATTTTATTTATTTCTAGGAGAGAGAGAGAGACAGCATGAGCAGGGGAGGGTCAGAGAGAGAGGGAGTCACAGACTGAAACAGGCTCCAGGCTCCGAGCTGGCAGTCAGCACAGAGCCCGACGCGGGGCTCGAACCCACGAACCGTGAGATCATGACCTAAGCGAAAGTCAGACGCTTAACCGACTAAGCCACCCAGGCACCCCTATGTGTACTTTTTAAAAACTGCAGTAGAGTTGACACGATGTTACGCTGGTTTTAGGTGTATGACAGAGCGATTCAGTAAGTCTTTGTTAGGCTCTGCTCACACATGTAGCTACTGACCCTAACCGTGCAGCGCTATTACAGTCTCACTGACTGCAGTCCCTGTGCTGTGCCTTTCATTTCCATCACTCCTTCATTCCATACCTGCAAGCCTGCACCTCCCACTCCCCTTCCTCCCCTTTGCCCACCCCCCACTCCTTTTCCCTCTGGCAACCGCCAGCTAGTCCTCTGTGTATATGTACTTTATTTTCTCTTTTCTCGTACAAAAACGGCATGTTTTATGTACGCATTTTACACCTTGCTTTTTTAAGTTAACCTAGCTTGGGTAGTTTTTCACTTTAGTTCACGGAGATCTTTTCCTTTCCTTCTCCTCCTTCGTTTCCTGTCTTCCCCCCACCCTTTTGTCCTTCTACTATAAATGTGTACCGCAGTTCATTCAACTAACCTATGGGTGGGGGTTTTGGTTGTTTCTGAGCTTTTGATATTTTATAGACTTTATAGGATTAGTGAGTTACTTTGTGAATACGTGATTTTATATTTATTTGTGGAGGTGTATCTTTTTTTTTAAGATTTTACTTTTACGTAATCACTTCACCCATTGTGGGGCTTAAACTCAACCCTGAGATCAAGAGTCACACACTTCACTGACTGAGTCAGCCAGGCGCCCCTCTGGAGGTGTATCTTAAGTGTAAATTTCTAGGGGTGCCTGGGTGGCCCAGTTAAGCCTCTGACTCTTGATTTTGGCTCAGGTCCTGATCTCAAGGTTCATGAGAACTAGCCCGTCTTGGGCTCTGAGCTGATAGCACTGAGCCTGCTTGTGTTTCTTTCTCTCCCTCTGTCTGCCCCTCTCTCACTCTCTCTTAAAATAAATAAACTTAAAAAAAATGTTTAAGGGTAAATTTCTAGCTGTGGGCTTGTAAGTCCAACGGTAAATGCATATATAGTTTTGTTAGCCTATAATCTGGGCAAAAAGGTGTTTTAGGCAGAAGTTACAGCAGGTATAAAGGCTCTGAGGCAGGGGCACGTAGCGGGTGTGCTGAAGGAATAGCAGAAAGTCCCCATGAAGAAACAGGGAGGAGAAGAGACCTGCTGAAGATGTTTTGTACTAGCGGCAGAGCTCAACTAGAGCCCTTGCCTCCATCCAGTCAGTCCATTGCAACACACTTATTTTGTTTCTTTAATGTTTATTTATTCTTGAGAGAGAGAGCATGATCAGAGGAGGGGCAGAGAGAGAGGGAGACACAGAATCCAAAGCAGGCTCCAGGCTCTGAGCTGTCAGCACAGAGCCCAACGCAGGGCTCTAACTCATGGACTGTGAGATCATGACCTGAGCCGAAGTCGGACGCTTAACGGACTGAGCCACCCTGAGTGCCCTGCAACACACTTAGTAAGCAAAGAATGCATACATGCAAAACAGGAATGTATTTGACCAGGGCCACTGTTGTCAGAACTATCAGGGATGAGTAGAGAGAAGTTTATATGGACCAGAGTCCAGTAAGACTCCACAGATGAGGTGGAAGATAATGTGTAAGATCGGAGTAGCCCTTGAAGCAGGGCCATCCATATTCCTAACTTTTATTTTATTTTTATTTAGTTCTTAATTTTTTTTTTTTTTTGAAAGAGAGAGACACAGAGCATGAGTGGGGGAGGGACAGAAAGAGAGGAGGAAACACAGAATCTGAACAGGCTCCAGGCTCTGAGCTGTCAGCACAGAGCCCAATGTGGGGCTCAAACTCACAAACTGTGAGATCATGACCTGAGCCGAAGTCGGAGGCTTAACCGACTGAGCCACCCAGGCGCCCCCTATTCCTAACTTTTAGAAGTAGGTGTGGATAAGGGCTTGAGATAATGCCAGGAATGGAATCTTTATCTGGGAGGAATGAAAGGGAAACTGGAAACAGTAAGTAAATTGGGCCTTATTATAAAGATTCTCAGATTCCAGGATGAAATTTGAAGTTGATTTGTCTGGAGAGTCACTGCCAAGTTTTGATGTGTGGATGAGGTAATAAGTGTCTTCTCTGTCTTCTCTAGTTTGTGGTAGTTGTGTCCGTCTCTTTTCACTGTGAAAAATTCGTTCCTTTAGTAGTTCTATGACTATTTAGTAGACACCTTTGTGCCTGGCTCTGGTAGGGACTTCTTGTTAGCTGATACTTTGTCTCACACTGTTTTTCTCTTCTTGATGCATTTGGACATAACTTCACATGAGGGGTGCCTGGGTGGCTAAATGCCCAACTCTTGATTTTAGCTGAGGTCATGATCTTATGGTTTGTGAGATTGAGGTCCATGTCAGCATGGAGGCTGCTTAGGATTGGCTCCCTCCCAGCTCTCCTCTCTCTCTCTGCCCCTTCCCTGTTCTCTCTCTCTCTCTCTCTAAAAAGAAAAAGAAAAGGGAAGGGGAGGGGAGGGGAGGGGAGGGGAGGGGAGGGGAAGGAAGGGAAGGGAAAAGAAAAGAACTTAGATGCCACCCAAGACTTGCAGCATCCATTAAGTTTTCTAATTGCCCCCTGTTGGGCTTACAGCTCGATCAGTTATAAGGTGGGAACCCTTTTTCTCACTTCCAAAGAACAAAACAACAGGCTAGGACATGATCCCTGCTCCTAAGGGCTTTAGGAATGTGACAAAGGAGTACTTGATGTATTTTCACTTTGGAGGAGCAGGTGTTATTTGTTGTTCCATCCCTTGTTCTCCTTATCCTGGGGTCCGGTTAGAGCTGTGCTGTGCAGTAGTTTAGCTACTAACCACGTGTGTCTAGAGTACTTGGAGCTTGCTGGTCTGACCTGAGGTATGCTGTTAAAAAATTTTTTTTATTATTTATTTTTGAGAGAGAGATAGAGACAGCATGAGCAGGGGAGGATCAGAGAGAGAAAGAGAGAGAGAGAGAGGGAGACACAGATCTGAAGCAGGCTCTAGGCTCTGAGCTCTCAGCACAGGGCCCAACATGGGACTCGAACCCGCTAACTGTGAGATCATGATCTGAGCCGAAGTCGGATGCTTAACCAACTGAGCCACCCAGGCACCCCTGAGGTGTGCTGTTAAGTAGAACATGCTTTCCATTCCACAGACTTAGTATGACAAAGAGATATAAAATGTCTGTAATAATTTCCTTGGATGTCAGTTACATGCTGAAACAATGCTTTGAGTAAATTGTGTTAAAAATACATTAAGAGGCACCTGGGTGTCTCAGTCAGTTAAGCATCTGACTTTGGCTCAAGTCATGGTCTCATGGCCCATGGGTTCAAGCCCCGCATCGGGCTCTGTGCTGACAGCTCGGAGCCTGAATCCTGCTTTAAAATATGTGTCTCCCTCTCTTTCTGCCCCATTCATCTTCTGTCTCTCTGTCTCTCAAAAATAAATAAACATTAAAAAAAAATTTAAAGAGGATGAAATATGGAATCTGCTTACATGTACAGTGGTTGTTCACTGTTTAAAGGAATCTTATTGTACATCTTTTTTGCAAAGCTAGTAATCACCCATTTATTTCTGTTACCCTTACAAACTTGAATTTTCATGTAGAACACATTTATTCGACAAATTCTTGAATGCTTATTATGTTGCAGACACTGTGTTAAGCACACAGAGTGGAGTGGTTAGCAGAAGAAACATGGCTGTCCTTCATGGAAGATGCATCCTTCTAGATCAGGAGACAGAGTTGCCCAGAACCCAGTGAGTGAAGGCGAGTGGGAGGCTGTCTCTGCATTGGGAGGTGTTATATAGGCTTTGGTTCACAACCCTGCTCGTTACATGCTTTGAAGTTCAGACCAGCAACAGTCATTCTCTGTGGGTCCAATGAGAATATATAGCATAGTTGGCAATTCCCTCCTGTTGTCTGTCTGTCTGTCTTTCCTTCTTTCCTTCTTTCCTTCCTTCCTTCCTTCCTTCCTTCCTTCCTTCCTTCCTTCCTTCCTTCCTTCCTTCCTTCCTTCCCTCCCTCCCTCCCTCCCTCCCTTCCTTCCAAATAGTTTATTGTCAAGTTGGTTTCCATATAACATCCAGGGCTCATCTCCACAAGTGCCCTCCTCCATGCCCATCTCCTCCCTCCCCCCCACACCCATGAGTCCTCAGTTCTCAGCATTCAAGAGTCTCTCATGGTTTGCCTCTCTCCCCCTCCCCCACCATTTCCCCCCTTCTTCTCCCCCATGTTCCTCCGTTAAGTTCCTCCTAATCCTCCTATACGTGCAAACATATGATATTTGTCCTTCTCTGCCTGACTTATTTCACTCAGCATAACACCCTCAAGGTCCATCCATGTTGCTACACATGGCCGGATTTCACTGTTTCTCATTGCCATGGAGTATTCCATGGTATAGATAAACCACATCTTCTTGATCCATTCATCCGTGGATGGACACTTAGGCTCTTTCCATGTTTTAGCTATTGTTGAGAGTGCTGCTATGAACATTGGGGTACATGTGCTCCTCCTCCTGTTGTCTTTCTAATGTAATGCTGAATTATGATTGTAGACCCCTTCCCTCAACTGCAGTTTTGTCTAATTTTTTTCTCTCTCTGGACATTTTCCCAGCATTGCTGGAGTCCACGCCTCCACAAGGCATGTCCCAGAGGCTTACTTCAGAGACTCCTAAATACCCCGAACGTGGACATGTCCAGTTTGATGTGTACCTGTCTTTAAAGAAATAAGGTGTCAGTTACAGTGCTATGACCTCAGGTTCCAGAATATCAATGCAACATTCTTTAGAAGAGATGTTTCACTTTGGAGGAAGTCTAAGTTTGGAATCAGTCAGGCTGTTGTCAAAGGGAGAAGGTTAACCTCAGCAGGAGGAAAGCATCCCACTATGAATTGGTTCGGAAATTCCTTCTCTAGATTTCGTGAGGATGTTTCCTTACTCGGCATACACTCACCTATGTTGCTTTCACTCACGTCATCCGAAGATGAGCAGCATTTTATTTCCAGTGCGAGGTAGAGAGTTCTGTGATATTCTTCTAGGTTTTTCTCTTTGGGTAGCATATCAAATCTCTCTGTCTCTCTCTCAATCTCTCTCTTTCTCTTCTTATTAGGAGCCAGAGAGAATAAAACTGGGCTTGAGAAGAAAGTAGTTGCTATCCTTTTCTATGGGTACTTGCAAAGGGGCAACCAATGAGTTCCTTCTGGCCATGCTTGGCTAGTGAAAAGAGAAGGGTTGGCTTGGGTGAAAGGGTGTTGCTTTATTCTTAACCAATGTTGAACCCTGAACAAGTGAAACTTTACTTCTGGTGGCTGCTAGTAGTTTCTACCCCTTTGGAATAAAAACTTGAGGACTTTGGCTTCAGTTAAATTTGAAGTAATCAAGGAGGTATGAGTGGAAGGTGAAATGACACCTTAGTATTTCAAGTTTCATGGAGGAAGAGAGTGAGAGGAAACCCCCCTCAGGCAGAAGCACCAGGCAAGTGGGGCCATGGCATGGGGAATGCGCTCAGCTTTGGGAAGAGAAGGAAAGAGTGAGGTCAGAAAGGGGGAAGGGTGTGCGTATTCGGTAAGAGCAGAGAACTGGAATGACTTGAGTCAGTGTCCTGCCCCCCATCAGATGAAGCCTCCCTCTGCTTCTGTCTCTTAGGGTGACCACACTTCTTGGTTCTCCTGGGACTGTCCTGAGGTTCTCACTGGAAGTTCTCTATCCTGGAAAAACTGGGATGATGGGTCACCATGATTGAAGTTTTAGGTGTTTGGGCAGCACACGTGACAACTGAGAAGCTGCCCCAGGTCTCCTCCCTCCATTCTTTGTTTCTCAGAAAAGGGTACAGAACGCCCTGGGGTAAGTGCAGGATCACTAAGTTACAATAATAACCGCAGCCACCATCAACTGCATGCCTACTATGTGCCAAGTGCATGATCTTGTTTCATCCTCCAGGCAATGGGGGAGATGTGATGTTTTCAATCCAGTTTTATGGAAGAGAGACCAGAGCTGAGGGCTCTGACAAAGTGTGTTTTCCAAAGTCAAACAACTAGAAAGCAGCTGAGCCACATTTGAATTTTAGGGTGCCTAGGTCTAAAATCTGTCCTCTTCCACTAAATAAAGAACTTGCTCAATTTGATGGCAAATGGACAGCTGCTGTGATTTAGCAAAGCTCTGTGACCATCAGCCTCATCTACTGTGACCATCTTTCCTGTTCTTAATGGTAGTAGAAGATTCCTTGGGATACATACAGAGCTCAAAGCTGTGCAGGAAGCTACAGTAGGTGCTCTAGTCTGATACTTGTGGCAGCCCCTGATTAATTATCCAATTTTTAAAGGAACTACTAAGTGCCTGGCACATAGAAGGTGCCCAGCGAAGGGAATCTCTGCTTGTTTTAATCATGACACAGTAAGCTATAATCTTGAGCTGCAGTTCTTTAGTCAGTGCATGTCAATTGAAGCATATTTTAATATTAAAATCACCTAAGATTCAGGGTATTAAGATACTCAGTAATATACTTGCTGAATTCAAAATTAGGCAAACACACAAAAAAGAACCCCCCACCCCCACCCCAAGGAGAAGCTGTTGTCTTTGCTGTTTGATTTGGAATAGAAGACAACCTTCCTTGCCATTATAAAAGCCGTTACACACAAAATGCTGAGATGGAAGCAGAATATTTTATTCTAGGGCTGCAAGCTGTAAAATGGTTCATTTCAGGGAAAAAATCTAATCCAGAGGCTCAGCCCTACAAAATTCCTTTACTAATATCAGAGATAATTGGAAGCTCTCAGTTAAGGACAGAAGTCCCAAGTTGTGAGCATCACATTGAGAGGTAAAAGCTCTGGCCTGTATGGAGGGAGGGATGTAGGAAGCTTTTAGGCCACTCTGCTTTTATTTCCTCTTTTAACACCTGAGAGTTGTACCTTTGCTAGAGAAGGAAACACAGTTAAGATCATATAATTTAGGGGCATCTGGGTGGCTCACTTGGTTAAGCATCTGACTTCAGCTCAGGTCATGATCTCGCTGTTCGTGGGTTCGAGCCCTGCATCAGGTTCTGTGCTGACAGCTCAGAGCCTGGAGCCTGCTTTGGATTCTGTGTCTCCCTTTCTCTCTGCTCCTCCCCCACCCCTACTCATGCTCTGTCTCTCTCTCTCAAAAATAAGTAAAAATTAAAGAAACATCACATAATTTATAACTAGATTGGAGGAGGACTCGAAGATCCCAGAAGAGACATATTTATTCAGTTTGGTCCAGTTCAACAAATAACCAACCACATGGCCACTAGGTGTTAAGGTCGTGTGTTGATTGCTGGGCTTATAGGGAGAAGCAGCATGTGCCCACTGACACCAAGTTGCTCACATGGAGGCAGAGGAAGTAATAATAAAAAATAAAGGTGGTTTCCTCGGGACCAATTTGAAATCTTCATGGCTGTCTTAATCTGCTTGGGCTTCCATATCAAAGTACCATAGACTGGGTGTCCTAGTGAGCAGAGGTTAATTCTCTCACAGTTCTGTAGGCGGGAAGTCCAAGGTTAGGGTGCCAGCAAGCTCAGCTTCTGGTGAGGGCTCTCTACTTGGCTTACATCTGTCTCACTGGGTACTTAATGTGGACTCTTAACATGCCACTTCTATCTGACCAGGATCTCACCTCTATTCCTCATTTAACCTTAATTACCTCCTACAAGCCTTTTCCAAACGCAGTCACACTGGGGCTTGGGCTTCAACATAGGATGGTGAGGGAACACAATTCTGTCTATAACATATGCCCTAACCCACATCGTTAAAATGTTTTAAAATGTACCCATACCATACTTTATATCCGTGTCCACATTTTTTTCCTTTGCTGTCCAGTAAGTGAAATGATTTTTATAATTCTGAAATTATTTGGCTATCAGCGATTAATTCATCTTATGATTGGCGCTTGTTTCTTAGTAATCATTCATACTTGGGATTTTTTGCAAAATGAGAATTCCAAGTTGTTTCTGAATGCAGTGAAATATTTGTGAGTTTGTAAATTGGCTGTTAATGAGATCGGCATAATGCTAGATTTTTGTGTTTCGTCGAGCATTAGCTAATTTTGTAGTCTGTCTTGCAGTTTTTGTATTTTGGAGCCACTACCTTTTCCACGTCTCTAACACTTTGGCAGGCTCTTGGAAAACTTGTTAGCCTCTAAGCGTTGCCTATAAATACCTGAGGGATAAAGGGGCTTCTAGACAGGGAGCTCCTGACCTCAAGCTCTCTTCCAGGCTCTCACGTCTTTTCCAGCCTGTGTCTCATGGGCCCTGAAGACTAGCTCTGTTCCACCCATTCTCTTTCCCGCCAGCCTACCTCCTGCTCCGTGTTCCTTGCCATCTCTGTTACGTTGACATCACCACCCGCCTAGTGGAAGACTCACAGGCTCCTGTGGTCATCATCAGTCTCCATATCCCCCTGTACCAGGTTTCAGGATGGTGTCAGGATGACTGTATAGGTAATTGTCTGGCAACCCTGTTAGGAACACTGATTTCTGTACCTCATGTCTGGAGACCCGCGCTGTTGGCTTGGGGTGAGACTTGGGCATTTGTGTTTTCAGCAAGCTCATGTGCTTATTAAAAGCACACCAGATTTGGGAAGGTGTGGACGTGGGTAGCATTGGTGGAATGAAACAGAGATATAGATCTGAACAAGAACAGTGCACTCCTGTTACATTTATTCCCCCGATTTAGAGGTTCTTGGAGGGCCCTTCTGCTGTTTCCTAATTTTTTTTTTAATGTTTATTTATTTTTGAGAGACAGAAAGAGACAGAGTGCGAGTCAGGGAGGGGCAGAGAGAGAGAGGAAGACACAGAATCCAAAGCAGGCCCCAGGCTCCAAGCTGTAAGCACGAGCCCGATGCGGGGCTTGAACCCATGAACTATGAGTGAGGTCATGACCTGAGCTGAAGTGGGTCGCCCAACCAACTGAGCCACCCAGGTGCCCCCCTTTTGCTGTTTCCAAGATACCCTGAGGGTGTTGCCTTAAAGATGCCCAGGAATGTTCCACTCTGGCCTCCAGGGCATGGGTCCCAGGTGCGGAGCATGGGTGACTAGTACTATAACAACAGCTATTACAGGAAGAAATTCTGCTGTCTTTGTTTATTTTGTCTCAAGCATGAGGCAGGTTCTTTAATTCTTCACAGCACACCAGAGACAGGTACAAACAGTTAATGAGGCTTGCCAAAAGGGAAGCACAATCTAGAATAATTACTACCACGTACAGGCTCCCTCCTCTCCATCTGCCCCTTCTGTAAGGCTGGGTACAACTTAGCCTTCACTGTGGGGCTTACCTCAGGTATCCCACGGTAGGAGCTCAGGCAAAACTGTCCCTAGAAAGAGAAAGATGTTTTCCCACCTCACTTTTGAAGCCCATTCTATTTCCTACTTCAGAATGAGAGAGTAGAATATCTATTCCCTTTAGCGAAAACTAACCCAAAGTTGTACTGTGTGGCCCCACTAGGATATGTTTACAGTAATTTGAAGTCAAGACATCTTTTTAAAATTTTATTAAAAAATGTTTTTAAGTTTATTTATCTATTTTGAGAGAGAGTGAACAGAGGAGGCACAGAGAGAGGAAGGAGAGAATCCTAAGCAGGCTCTGTGCTGTTGGCACAGAGCCGCATGTGGGGCTTGAACTCACAAACCTGAGTTGAACCTGATCATGACCTGAGCTAAAATCAAAGAATCAGACACTTTAACTGACAGAGCCACCCAGGTTTCCCTGAAGACATCTTCTGAAGTCTTGGTTGTTCACTTAAATGATACTGTATGTTCAACTTCCATAGCCTACTCCCAGTTTCCATGTCTGATTCCTTATTAATTTCTGCAGTGAGCACTCAAAACCCTTGGGGTGTAGCCTCACTCAGGTCACATTGTTACATACTTTTGAGGCACAGCAAACTAGTTATATGCCCTTCATTTGACATATTAACCATATGAGGTCATTTTTCTTCATTTCATATTTGAACAAAGGGAAACAGGTTAAGCAACTTAAAACAAGGTCACGCTTCTTGGGAGTGGCATGCTGGGATTTGAACTGAGGCCTCTTGGTTCCAAATTGGTGAATTTATCCATTATGAAACACCGAGGAAGTCATCTGGGCATTAAGGTGGATTGACAGGATCTGGAATAATCATGCCATTAACAGAGACAGGGCACAGTCAGAGGAGAAGGAATAATGAAGTGAGGGGTAGGGAGTGGATGAAGAGGAGCTTGGGCTCTGAAGTAAGAGCCACTTGGCATCCCTGGGTCCCTTTCTCCCCTTTACCACTCTGTCTTGGCTTAATGCTTATTCTTCTGAACCATTATCTTAGTTTTCAAGTTACTCATCCTTTCTGACTCTGCAGGAGCCATGCACCAGCCCAAGCTGTGGTGAAGCAGCCCATCCGGGGAGCCACTGGGAGGACCACCATCACGACGATTGTCCACACTGGTGGAGACTGGAGCACCGGCCTCTTCAGTGTCTGCAGAGACAAGAGAGTTTGTACGTTTTTCCGCTTCATTTTGAGTTCTCCTCTACTATTTTCTTTCTCCAGGCATCAGATGGGTGCAAAAGCTACGTCAGGCACAAGGACATAATTATAATGGTTTTAGAATAACTGGACTCATCTTCTGGTGACTCATATGCACTCCTTGGCAGGAAAAGTCCTGCTTTTCAGGGATAGGAAGGCTTTTACAGAGTCGGTGGTGACTTCAGATTTTTTTAAATGAGAAAATTCGCTGTTGGCAAAGATGACTGTAGTGGGCTCCCCCATCTGCTGCTGGTGGGAGTTTAAATTGGTATAACCTTCCTGCCGGATGGCTTAGCAATACATATAAAAAGAACCTCAAGTGTTACATAGCGTTGACCCAGTAATTACATTTTTAGGCAGTTAGTCCAAGGAAATAAGTCATGTGCAAGGATTTAGCAACATTAAATTTTGCAGCATTGGATATTATAGCAACCATCTGGAACAATCTAAAATGTTCAATGGGGGCATGTGTACAATGAATTATTATACAGCCATGAAAAATCATGTTGTAGAATAACCCTTAATGAGATGAAAGATGTTTTGGGTGTTTTTTAAGTTAAAGAAGCATACTGTAAAACCAAACATGTTAGATACCATTTGTGGAGGGGGGAGGGGCATATTTTAAAAATACCAGGAGGGATACAAATATAAATGTTTATGACATGTCTCCAGATGGTAGGCTAATGAATAATTTTTATTTCCTCCTTTAATTACCTCTTACTAGTATTTCTTTGCTGAATGTGTGATACTCTTTTTTTTTTTATTTTAAAATGTTTTATTTATTTCTAGGAGAGAGAGAGAGAGAGAGACAGTGTGAGCAGGGGAGGGTCAGAGAGAGAGGGAGATACAGACTCTGAAATAGGCTCCAGGCTCTGAGCTGGCAGTCAGCCCAGAGCCCGATGCGGGGCTCGAACCCACAAACCGCGAGATCATGACCTAAGCGAAAGTCGGACACTTAACCGACTAAGCCACCCAGGCGCCCCTGTGTGATACTCTTAAAAGAACAAGAATAATCACAAAAGAAGCCTCCTTTGTTGATTGAAATATTTTCATATGCTGGTTCAGCTATAAAGATGTACCAATAACACGGTCCACTAGCTATGTGATTTTGCCCTGGGAATGAAAGTTAAAGTACACCAATTTTATTTTTATCTTAGGACATTCTGATGTGTCTCTGGTACCACATATCAGCGTTCCCTTCTAGGTCCTGCCTTTGGGAGCAACTCAGTCACAGGGTGTTTCTTGTGTATGTTGGGGTGGGGTGGGAGGTGTCCCTTTGTTGGATAAGCATTAGCCACTAATGTTGAAAATCCAACAGACCTGGGGCGCCTGGATGGCTCAGTTGGTTAAGCATCCAGCTTCAACTCAGTTCATGATCTCACAGTTTGTGAGTTCGAACCCTGTATCGGGCTCTGTGCTGACAGCTCAGAGCCTGGAGCCTGCTTCAGATTCTGTGTCTTCCTCTCTCTCTAGCCCTCCCCAACTCATGTTCTGTTTCTCTCTCTCTCTCTCCTTCAAAAATAAATAAACATTTAAAAAAATAAAGAAAACCCAACAGACCCTGGATGTAATATTTTTGAACACTATGGCTTTCCCTCCTGTTGCAGGTTTCTGGGAAGATCTAAATTTGTTCCTCAGACAGATTCCTCAAACCTCACAGAATTGATCCATCAACAATTGATCTGAGCTGTTACATGGTCCATGCCCCTATTCACCCAAGAGTCTTGCTGAGGCTAAGGTTCTCCCACCATGTTTTGGTGCTCTAGTCACCCAGTCTTGAGCCCTTCACTCTCTGCCTGGGCCTCACAGAGGAGAGATTGCTCAGTACAAAGCCTTTTCCTCCATCCCTGTCCCTTTGCTTATTGGACCTAGAGTTCAGAAGGCTTTTTCCTGCCTCTCCTACCCATGTGGACTTCTGACCAGATAATGATGGCAGCCATTCTTTGATTCTCTCAGCATTCTTCCTTGTTCTCTTCCAGATACTCTGATTTTGGCTCTCCCCTAGTACTGAGGTACAGAAGGCAGAATAGCCATGTGGACATGTGGAGACATAGCATTGCATTGGGAAGTGGACTCTTTTCCTTTCCTAGCTCGTAGGTGGGGGATGGGGGACCACCAGTGCATTTTCAAGTAGGACAGAGCCTTGAATATTCTGTAGTGGTGACGAAAACATGTTTTTATGAGATAGACCTTGCCAGATAGGGATCATAACTCTGCCTCTTACTGGCTATTTGACCTTAAACAAATTCTCTGGATCTTCATGTTGCCACCTTAAAGTGAGTATAGTAAAAGTGCTCACCTAATGGGTTGTTGTTAAGATTAAAACATAATGTCTGGAACCTATTAACACTAGCTTGGGACTTAACTGAATCAGAGTTTTTTGGGTTGCATGTTATACTGAGTTGAATAGTCCTCTCAAAATTCATGTCCACCTATAACTTCTGAATGTGACCTTATTTGGAAATAGGGTCTCTGCAGTGTAGTGTAGTTAAAAAGAGGTTATAGTTGATTAGGATGGATCCTAATCCATTGGCTGATGTTCTCATAGGAAGCAGGAAATTTGGACACAAACATTCAGAAGAAAAAGCCTGGGGAAGACAGAAGCAGAGATTGGAATAATGAATTCACAAGCCAGTGAATGCCAAGGATTGCTAGCATCACCAAAAGCTTGGAGAGAGGCATGGAACAGACTATTCCTCTGAACTTCTGGAAAGAATTAATACTGCTAACATCTTGATTTCATACTTCTAGCCTCCAAAATTCTCCAGTGAGAGAATGATTTCTTTAAAAAAATTTTTTTTAATGTTTATTTTTAAAGAAGAGACAGACGGAGTGTGAGCAGGTGAGGGGCAGAGAGAGACACAGAATCCGAAGCAGGCTCCAGGCTCTGAGCTGTCAATATAGAACCTGACGCGGGGCTCAAACCCACAAACTGTGAAATCATGACCTGAGCCAAAGTCGGACGCCCAGACTACTGAACCACCCAGATGCCCCTAGAATAATTTCCTTTTAAAATTTTTATTTAAATTCCAGTTAGTTAGCATACAGTGTAATATTAGTTTCCTGTGTACCATATAGTGATCTAACAATTCCATATATCACCCTGTGCTCATCACAACAAGTGCCCTCCTTAATCCCCATCACCTAATTTGCTCACCGCCCCCCCCACTCACCTCCCCTCTGATAACCATCAGTTTGTGAGAGAATAATTTCTATCTCTTAAAGATGCCCCGTTTGTGGTATTTTGTGATGGCATTCCCAAGAAACTAATATACAAACACTGGACTTCATTAGAAGGCTTTGGGGGTAGCTCACAAAATCAAAAAATCAACTAAAAATTAAGCTCAGAAAAGACAAGCTGCATTATCAGGAGCTAGCCAACAGTCTGGTTAACTCCAAACATTTTTATCCCTTTGAGACTAAAAGGGATAAAAATTTCCTCTCTGAGAATTGATGGAGCAGATGGAGTTGGATTTGCCGGGCTTAGGTCATTCGGAAGGGCAATCCTATCAGTATTGCCCATGGTAATGAAGGGATAATTTCCCAGAATTACTATCGGGGTGCTGTTATCAGGAAATGACCAAAAATACACAATGCACTCAATCAATCTTAGTTATTAATATTGTTGTTACTGTAAGTTGTTACTATCCTCTATCATGTTGGGAGCAAAGAGTAGAGTCTGGAGACTTCGACTGGCTGCTGCACAGTGATCTCTACTCCATCCCAAGAGCACCTAAGAAGTTGGCTAAAAAACCACCATCCTGGGGTGCCTGGTGGCTCAGTCAGTTAAGCATCTGACTTCAGCTCAGGTCATGACCACACGGTTCGTGGGTTCAAGCCCTGCGTCGGGCTCTGTGCTGACAGTTCAGAGCCTGGAGCCTGCTTCAGATTCTGTGTCTCCCTCTCTCTCTGACCCTCCCTTGCTCACACTGTCTCTCTCAGAAATAAATAAAACATTAAAAAATAAACCCACCATCCTCACCACCCCCTCTGCCTTAAATGTTGCCTCACTGCTTACCTCTCTTCCCTACCTCCATTAATGTTTCTGAGGAGTCCTTGCTTGTCCATTTGATAGCCCATTCTAGGGGCAAGGTGAGAAGGGAGAAAATGTGGAGAAACAGAATATTCTTTACATTTGGCATGATCCATGGAGAAGAGGCCCAGGGTATACAGTACAAGGTGCTCTTGAATGTTCTGTTTTCCAATTGTTATTCCCCAGATGGGCCTCCATTTTATGACTGCTCAGTGTGTCTCTAAGCTGACTGTTTCAGAAGAAAACTTAAGGATAATATCACTTCCGTCCCTCGTTCTCTGCACTGTAATTCCCGGGACACGGGTGGAGTAGGAGTGCTCTAGATCCTGGGTTTCTTTCCTTTGTTGTTAAAAAGGGCTCCTTTATCCACAAAATTCCACTTCGAGCAAACCACTGTGAAAACAGTTGTGACAAACTCGGGAACAAAAAGGAAAGCTGCTTTCCATGACCTTGTCCGAGCCAGATTCCTGTCCTGGGACACCTTTCCATTGAATGTTGAGAATTACTGTTACAATTTGTCATCCATTAGACAAAGGGTATGTTGCGAACAGCAATGATTTTCATTTCTTTTTGACATTTTGCTTCTTCATTTTATTGCAGTTACTTTTCTTTCTTTCTTTTTTTTTTTAACTGCCTCCCTCTTCCCACCTTGGCGCTTTTATCTGAATTCACAGTGCACTGCAGTTGGCAAATGGGTGCTTCCACATCCTTGGAGATGGGGTTTCTGAAAGCTCAGCTGTGAAGATAAAGCCGAGGGGAAGTGTGTGGCTGCTAAGTGGCATTGTGAGTAAAAGGCAAGCTGTCCCGGCTTTGGGAATGTTTGTGATGTTGCCCCAGAGAAGGTTTACATGGAAGGTGGAATCAACATTGGTTTGTCAGTCAACCCATATTGACTGAGTTCTTACCTGTGTGTAGCCAAATGGTGGGTGTTACAGACAT